AATTGAAAGAATACAAACAAAAACAAATAAAAATCTCTTTAATTAATGATGATCTTGGAAAGTTTTGGTTTTGATTGTATTCAGGGTCACTTTCTCTGGAAAATCTGTTTGAGAGGAAAGACAAGATGAGGCTGGGGATGACGCTGACATCCAACCCTAAAGACAACAGCTTTGTGGTGAGTCATGAAACCTACAGATTAGTTACATCCATACGAGCTCATCCTGACTTAAAATGATTAAATGGCTGGAATGACAACAATCTGAGCTTTTGTAAAAAGATGTCTCTTTACCATCCTGTTAATAACTGTAGTTTATCATGCTTGTAGCGATATGTGATTGTTTTTATAGAAAATTTTCAGAAACAAGTTTTTTGTCTTTGCTGTTTTATTCTGTCACTTTGTGTCTCTCCTGTGTGTAAATGTGTCCTCAGACCTGTGGGCCACTCTGGTCTCATGAATGTGGAAGCTCGCTGTACAGCACAGGAATCTGCTCCAGAGTCAACCAAAAGTTCAGACTGTCCCACACTATTGCACCTGCCCTACAGAGTAATCGGCACATAATCTTCCATCCATCCATCCATTCAGCCATCCATCCAGCTTTTCATTTGTTCCGTAACTAACTTGTTTTTGTTTGTTTGTTTGTTTTTCTTGTAGGGTGTGAGACATTAATGGACATTGTGATTGTTCTGGATGGTTCTAACTCCATTTATCCTTGGTATGAGGTTCAGGACTTCATCATAAACATCTTGCATAAGTTCTATATTGGTCCTGGTCAAACGCAGGTTCGTTTATCACTCAATTATCACCACATCAAGTCATGGTAGATTCCCTTAACAACCATTGCAGTGCAATTACTTTATTAGGTCATTGTTGTTCTGAATAAACTGTACTTTCAAAGGGAGCCTAATGAGGATTTGAATTACCACGCAAGACTAGAACATTCCTTCACAATATGCTTTACACTCCTTCTGATCTGCATGAACAAATGATTGTCCAGTCCAGATAATATGCACTGCCTGTTTAGGGAAGCGCTTTGCAGAAACAATAAAAGGAGAGATGATGTGGCACTGGATGCATGTATTGCTCAATATTCATTTTTAAAAGACTGATCTTCAATAATAATCAGCTGCTGGTTGTAAGCACAGCTGGAGCTGCTCTGATTGCTGTGATGATGAGGCTGTGATTAGATGTATGGTTACTGCTTTGACTTTGTTTGGTGTTGTGGTTCAGTCTATAGTGATATGGATATGGCCTGCTACTATTTCAACTTGTGTTGCTCCTGTGGCAGATGTGTTTGTGGTGGGGTTACAAAAGGGGTGGAGGAGAGAAGAATGAGGGAGCTGGGTGGAGCTGTACCAGTATCTAGTAAACCCAGCAGCTTCACCTGGGGATTCTCACCTCACAAAGTACTATATTAAATTTAAAATACAACCATAGTCATACACAGGTCACACAAGTTTGATGGCTGACAGAAGACAGAGACGTGGTTCGAACCAATGACATTGCACAGCAAGAATTATTTCAATATTTAAATTCTTTTTAACAAGAAAATTATTTTAAAAAGAAACACTTCCAGAACAATAAAATTCGCTCAGGGAGAGGAAAGTGAATGGAAGCCAGCAGGGGAGGTGGCCATCCCTGTCACTTAAGCATTCTAGGAATGCCACAAACCACCAACCACTCCTGAGCTCACAGCAATTTGCAACCACTACCAAACTGGTATAAGATAAGGTGCCCCAGTGCTCTTATCGGTGAAGGAAAAACCCCACCAGAATGCCTAACCTTAACCACCAGCCGGCAACCTTGTCCACTGAAGAGGATAATTGTTCAAAAACCAGTTGGCTCAATCTAAAATACAGAATAAAGGCTACACAGCAAATGACAAACGCATATTACAAGTTAATAATAGGTTTCTAACATGTTTATAATATGTAATAAAAGATTACCTTTCACCATTACACACGTATTAACTGCTGGGCAAAACAAGCCATACCTTAGTAATATACTATCTTTTTTGCAGACTTGAGGAGAATCGGGGGCATCCACATTATGCCAAGGCAGGCAAACTTGGTGTCACATACCACAGCCAAACAGACACCAATATGTGGCAAATGGGACTGTCAAAAAATTGCACTTTATCATCATGTGCATTTGAATGAATAAACTCTTTGAAACAGCCAAAACCCTTAAACAGCCTGACTACAACACCTACCTGAGAGTCACAGAGGAGCGCATACAGCAATTAAACAGAGACAAAAGGCAGTGATAATGCCACAGGTGCCTTAAATACCCTCAGCCAGGGGCTGGACCATGGGAGGAGTTGACCTAATACTCTGGTGGTGTATTCAACAGCTTTCAGGAAATAATACATTTGCCTGAACACAAATGTTTCCACTACATGTTCATTTGTTTATTTAAAAGTTCAGGAATACAAGAGCTTCCCTGCAACACTCAGGAAGGTCCAGTGCGTACTGTGCCTTCACCCTGAGCCAAAACTGCACCCTCTGTCTTAGCAGGAAAAGAAGTGCTGGACTAGCTCTTCTTGCTACACATAAACATGTAAAAGTTCACTGCATGCAGGCATAAAAGTGATTAACTTTCACTGTCAAAGAACTGAGAAACCTGCAAATGTTTGCAATGCAGAGAGTGAAGCTTTGGTCACAGGGCCGGGTAAAACATCTTGGAAAGAAAAGTGAATGAAAACCTGTCCTCCAACCTTCACAGAAATTGTCGCTGTCATACCCATTAGCAAAGGATTTAAAACCATTAATTGACATAGAAGACTGGCCACCTCTAGCAGACTTGTTTCACTGGAAGCTGAATTAATGTCAGGAAGACAAAAAGATTCTTAATTGGGCACTGGCTTAGTTAAATGTTACAGTAATGATGTGATGATGCAATCAGGTGCAGTGTTTTATTTTTGGACTGAACTGTGTTTTGGCTGCAGGTCGGCATTGTTCAGTATGCCTCCACAGTGGTCCATGAGTTTACCTTGGATGAGTACCAGACAGTGACGGATGTGGTGGAAGCTGCCAAGAACATCAATCAGAGGGGTGGAGAGGAGACAAGGACAGCACTGGGCATTAATGTGGCACGGTACGTTGCTAAATTATATTATAATTATATATAATCCTTAACTGGTAAGTAGCTAGGGTCACACATATAGTAACCTGTAAATGTATTGGTCATTGTTCTGACACTATTACACCTCGTTTATAGTTTTGCTACAGAATTGACACTTTATGACTCTTATCAGGTTCTGGTGGAGGTAGGAGATATTCTGTTGACTCTAAGAGGGCCGTGAGTGGTCATTCTAAAGTAAGAATCCAGTATGCAGATGTTCCATCTGGGCAAAAGTTTTCAGCTAGCTATCATCTTAAATGGCCTCCTACCAAATTTATAGCTGTGTGAAAGAGTCTCTAGATTCTCTTTGTATTGCTTTGGCATGTTCGACTCAGTCCACAACAGTGGTGAAGATCTCCCTCTGCTGTATCACTACTCTGGTTACTTGCTGGGTCCCAGACACTTGGGACCTGTACGAAAAACCAAGTTAAACATAACAAGGGTATTTTTATTTAGTTATCTGGCTTCACTTAACCCAACAACTTCAGTATGGATAAGCAGTGTTACAAAGCCGTTATCAAGTTGGTAAGTCAACCCAGGGTTTGTGATATACATGCAGACCCTGGATGTAAGGATGCCATAGACACACTCTATTACCAGCAGAGCCTGGGACAGGCAATAGTTGGACATCTGCTGCTGTCTTGACAGAGTGTTTCCAGGGTAGAGTTTTGTAAAGTGATGCTGAAGAGGGAAGGCCTGATTTCTGACAGATACATGTGGTAAAATCACCAAGCTGGGGACCTCCAGAGAGGCCTTTGTCAGATGGTATTTGAAAGGTGCCAACCTAAAGGGCTGTTCCAAAAGCATACTGCCTCAGGATCCCGCTAGCACTCCCATGGGCATGAACCATCCTGAAGCAGAGCCTAGATGATTACACACTTGCTATTGTTAGCAGCAGGTGTAGTAAGGGAACTGATGTACAATGGCCCTCTATTCCTCCTCTTCTGGCATTGATATATACAAACAGACTTTGGCAAAGTCTCCGGTTACCAGGTATTAAAACTATGTGATGGCTGATATTTAATTTGGAATGACTATGAACATGAAAAAAAAAAGTTACCAATGACTCCTACACACTCTTCAGACTTCAGGCACTTAAGACTCTATACTAAGAGCTTCAGTGAAAAACAACTGGACTTCACTTTTAGGTTCTCAAAGATCTTTTACCTCTCATCCCAGAGGCTTCTTCAGTTCTAACTGACTGATGCAGAGTCTAAAATATATATGCTCACCCCCAAATAACATGACTAATGGCCCATTACCGACTCAGGACTCACATGCTGCAAGATGTGAATGGTTGTGAAAATGATTTCCCAGCACTACCAGCAACAATGGCTGTGAAACTGTCAGCTTTCCCCAACAAAAACGCCAACAACAGATTACAAAACAATGGCTGTGAAGCTGCCAGGTCAGTCAGGGGTGACTCAAGATGTTAATGGTGGTGAAACCTTCTGGAGCGATACCTCAACACATCAGGAGCTTGATAAATGGTGTGGTAGACCTCATCTATTTAGAGATAGCTGCTCCAGTTTTGGGCTGCAAGGTGGAGCGGTGGTTAGCGTACATTCTGAGAGGTCTTAACTAATTCCTGCCCTTCACAATGACTTTTCATGGCAGGCCAGAAAGACTGCTAAATGTCCCAGTACTTCCAAAGTCCAATCTGCACCTGTATAGGGGAAACGAAACAGTAGCTCAGCAAGCCCATGGCTCAATACAAGAGAACCAGTTCCTTTGGACAGACTCAGCAGTCCACCCTAATCTGGAGGATGAAGGACACCCCTTTAAGGACTGCAATGTTCACATTATGGACAAGAGAAGATGGATTGTTTGAAAGTGAAGGAAGCCATCTATGTGAAACTGGAGCAGCCATCTCTATAGAAGGAAATTATTAGATACCTATACAGACTGTTAAGATAGCTCCTCAGAAAGCCTCATTACTAACAACATCTTAAGTCACCTTTGACCAGGCAGCTTCACAGCCATTGTTTTGGAGTGACTACATACTGTACATCTGAGACTTCTCATCAGTCAAACAATCTAAGCCTGTTGGATTAGAGGTGAAACATCTTCAAAAACCTCAAAGAGAAGCTCAGTTATTTTCTAACTGAAGCTGTTATCATGAACAGGATGTCAAAGAATTTATACAGACATAAATACTAGTTTATTACTATAGTATTTAGATAGACTTACATTTACATCTACTGAACATCATCTGGTCTTGTCAAAAAGGTCAGAGGCATTCCAGCGCGGTGGCAGGCCAGGAGCTCATAAGGTGATGATTGTGATCACTGATGGCGAATCTCATGACAGTCCTGAGCTGGTGCAGGCTGTCACCGACAGCGAGAGAGCCAACATCACCATGTATGCTATTGCTGTGAGTCCGTCACCCTTTACCCATAACCCCAAATACCTTTCAGAACCAACCTGATTTGCTGTCTGATTCTGATTCACCCTTTTTCTCTGAGAGACTGTATTTCTTTTTCTTACCTGTAACCTACACCTGACATCTTACCCTCTGTTTTGCTCTTACCCAAATCAACAAAGCCCATTTGCTGTTATTTGTCTCTGGACTTCAGAAAACCTATGACTGCCATTCGTTTTTCGTTGCATTCTATCCAGGTTTTAGGTTATTATAACCGCCGGGGAATAAATCCTGAAGCCTTTCTGAAGGAAATAAAGTTCATTGCCAGCGACCCTGATGAGAAGCATTTCTTCAAAGTGACAGATGAGTCAGCGCTGAAGGACATTGTGGACGCTCTGGGAGAAAGGATTTTTTCTCTGGAAGGTCAGTTAACATTCAGCATGTGAAAACATACTTCTTTATATTTTCCCCCAAAAAAGAAAAATCCCAACAACTAATAAGCCAATATTCACTTAAAATGAGTAGTTGCACTTCTGTACCAGTGCTCTGACCATTTGGTATTTTTGTGACTTGGTTTTGCCCGACTGTCTTGCTAAAGAAGTGTGTCAGAACCACAATTGTTTCTAATGAATCAGTTTGCTGCCTTGTTTTGATGTCTAGCAATAAGAACTAATAAATCCTAGCTGCACTAAATGTGAAGCAATAACAATACTGCTGAGAATGTACACTAATGGTTTTTCCTTTAAACACCTCAGTGACAGTAGATATGTTTAAGTTGTCATCAAAAAACATCAGGTATGATTAAAGTAGGAACACTAGTGGGGGAAAAAAAACTATGCAGACAATAGAATAAATTGTCCATATTGATTTAGTCATAAAAACAATTTAATAATAAACTCTCATTAACTGCCTCTGTCTGCAAATCTGAAACGCTGTGTTCAGGTTGTGCCACTCTGCACCATCGAGCCAACATCATGATTTCCTCTACAAGCATTTTCCCATGTGTTTCAGAGTGATGAGACCAAGGATGTGATTGGCTGAGACTGTACTCATGAATCACCACACCCTCTATGTCAGGGGTGTCAAATCCTGGTCCTCGAGGGCC